GGATACGGGGAGAGGGAAAAAAAAAAAGGGGAAAAAAAATTTAAAGATGAGGCAAGAGAAGTAATAAATTAATGGGGTGTGAAAACATTCAAAGCTTTACAATACCGGGGGCAGTGTTTGCTCAGATTTGGGGGGAGCCGTGGGATGGGGAGGGGTTGGAGAGGGGAAAAGGGGGAGCAGTGGGATGGGAAAGGGGAGCAGTGGGAAAGGGATGCAGTGGGATGGGAAAGGGGGATGAAAAGAGAGAGCAGTGGGATGGGAAGGGGGATGAAAAGGGGGAGCAGTGGGATGGGAAGGGGTGGAATGGGATAGGAAGGGGAGCAGTGGGATTGGAAAGGGGAGCAGTGAAATGGGAAGGGAGACAGAAAGGGGGAGCAGTGGGATGGGAAAGGGGGAAGCAGGGGAATGGAAAAGGGGAGCAGAGGGATAGAAAACAGTGGAATGGGAAAGGGGAGCAGTGGGAAAGGGGGAGCTGAGGGATGGGAAAGGGGGAGCAGCAAAATGGAAAAGGGAAACAGTGGGATGGGAAGGGGAGCACTGGGATGGGAAGGGGTGGAATAGGAAGGGAAGGGGAGAAGTGGAATGGGAAAGTGGAGCAGCAAAATGGGAAAGGGGAGCAGTGGGATGGAAAAGGGGGAGCAGAGGGATGGAAAAGGGGAGCAGTGGGAAGGAAAAGGGGGAACAGAGGGATGGAAAAGGGGAGCAGTGGGATGGAAAAGGGGGAGCAGAGGGATGGAAAAGGGGAGCAGAGGGATGGAAAAGGGGGAGCAGAGGGATGGGAGAGGGTGGAATGGGATGGGAAGGGGAGCAGTGGGTTGGGACAAGGTGGAATCGGGAACAGATTTTTATTTTGGTGCTATTTCTTAAAAACAACAACAACAACAACAAAAAACTTCAGGTCATTTTTATCCCATTTATGAAGCCAAGCCTGGAATTGTATTTCTCCAAATGCAAAAGTCTCTTAAATACAGTGGTGTCACCCTGCAGCTGATTAAATCCTCGGCAGCTCAGAGCTGCCCGTTCCTCTGGAATATTTCCCTAATGGATGTGGCTCCTTTTAACGTCCTGCTTTGTATAAAGTTGGACAACAAGCCAAGAATATTTAGTGGGCAATGCTTTTCATGCCTCCTAAATTGCATTATCATTAAACAAGTCATTGCCCCCATCCTGCTTTTATCCAAGACACGGAATTTGAAGCTACCAAACTATTCAGATCTTTGGGGTTCCGACCTCAAATTTAATTAAATATATCATGTGACACCTTTTGGTGTTTTGTTTGTTTTGGCTTGTTTTTTTTTTTTTTTTTTTTTTAAATTTTCAGTCCTTGGTGTAAAATCAAATCACATAAATTAAGGTTAAACTTTCAAAAGAAATTCAAACTTAGTTTCCCTACCTTTACATCCCTAAAAAGCTTGATGGACTATGGACCAGCAACTGGAGTTTCTTTTCTTTTTTTTTAATGTTTATATAAAAAACAACTTTATTCAAGAGTATTTTTGTGTGTGTGTGTGAGCACAGGCACCACTCCTATTACTTTTAATGGTTAGTTAAACAAATCAAGGGGTGAATATGCCCTTAAACACTGAAGTTTGTCCCTAAAGAAAATCCTATGAGCAAAAAAAACACACTTCCAAAAGGGAGCTTTACATGATGACCATGCCAGGAAAACCACCAACAGAACAATGAAAACCACATGAAAATTAGATATTTTCTATATTCTAAGGCTTAGAATTTCCTGTGCAAACTTTTTAGGGCGAAAAAGTCTGTTCTGATCATCACTGTTTGTTATTTCCTTGCTCAGATCGCAGTTAAAGACTGGTTATGGGGATTATATTCTGTATATTGAGACAAAAAAAATTGATAATTAGAGTTAATAATTAGATATTAACTCTAAACACACCCATAAGCAACTTTACTGACAGGAATAGTTGTTTGCACACCTAAATGCTTTCAAAATAAACTTAATTGTGAAGATTCAACGATTGTGTGGCAAATAAGCATCAGCAAAATAAACACTCATAAGAGAAATACCTATAAAAGATGTGGAAAATGAGCAGTGGGAAGTTCTACCATGAAAATATTTTACTTTTATCGTTAAAATATTTGATTAAAGGCCAGAAAATAAAACAATCCCCCTTTAGTCTCCCTGGCATATTGCAGGATCCTGGATTTCCACACTGCAACGATTCCCCCTACAAATCTTATTCATTTAAACTGAATTTATCCACACCCCATTTGTCTGTGTCTTAAAAACTGAGAAAAAAGGAAAAAAAACAAAAAACAAACCACACATTTTTTGCAGCTGCAGCTGCAGGAAATTTCAGGTGTTCTCCTGCACGTGGCCACACTTCCCATTTTCAGAGGGAAGCAACTTCCAACTCATTTAGGGCTAAATTTGAAAATGCACATATGATCAACTTCATTCCTTGATTAACTTCATTCCTTGATTAACTTCATTCCCTGAATAAACCCACTGAAGTGAGGGGGGACTGACTGCAGAATCAGGCCTTTACTAGGGAAATAAATAGATATTTGGACATGAAAAAAAATCCCTATTATTTATCCCCCTAATCAGAGAAGGTTTCTAAGGGTCCTCGTGTCCACCTTAGTAAGCACATGCCTAAAATTCATATTCTTCACATAAAAATCCTCCCGAAAAACCAGTTGCTCGAAAAGCTTAATAGCCACATTTTCAAGTTTCACCTCCTCAACTGTTTTACATTAAAAAAAATATACACAATTTCATGGGCTACTGACTTGCCAAATATTCTTTTACAAACCCGCTCCGTTTTTTAATTAGAACAGCAAAAAACAAAAGCATCTTAAACTTGCAATCGTGTGTTTGCTCCCGGTTCAGAAAGGGATTTTTTTGCCCAAATCCTACGGAATGTCCAGGCTCCAGCTTCCCTCCCCACCCTCTGACACTTCCATGAGGGTTATTTGAAATTCTGCCCCCCATCCCTTTGATTTAAGGTCAGAAAATACACGGATGTCGAGCCCCTCATGAGTTCCCCAACGTGGGGAGGACTCTGCAACACAAGAGCTTCTCTTTCAATCCTCTCTTCAAAGGTACATTTAAAAGAGAGATAAAATATGCAAAGGATGCTCTATTAATCATGGCAGTCAACATTTTCCAGGGGAGATGAGGAAGTGAAAAATCAAGAGTATTTCCACACATGCAAAACCTTCCCAAAAGTCCCTAAAAAAAAAAAGTGTCAGGAGAATTGGCTTAAAACAGCTTATAAAAATGGGAGAGAGAATGAGTCCCAGCCTATTATTCAATAACCATGTTTGTGAGGCATCTGCATAATCTAACCATGCATAAATTAGTATGTGTATTACAACAGTTATTTGCATAATAATAGCAAGTTAATAGATGCTTAAAGAGCACAGACCAACACCACCTTTAAATCAGACATTGCCTCCAGGCACTGGGATCTGTACAGACCAAGATGCAGAAAACAGTCTTCATAAAACACATGAAAACATCAAAACCACATCCAAATAATTCATTTTAGTCCCTGGACACTTCACTTTTTCTCCCCCTCTCTCCCAGGGAAGAATAATTTGAGGAGCTGCTGAGCAGTTTGTTACTGTGAATTCTAACATCCATCTCAAGAATTTCAAGTAATCATCAAACCTAGTTCTGGAGTGGTTGTTTTGTTCAGAGTTTCATGGTTTTTCAAGCAGACAAAGTAAAATATTCCGTGGTGATTCACGGCTCAGCATCAGCCCAACCTTTGCCACTGGAGATGGAAAGAGTTTAACCACCAACTTCAGGTGGAAAGTCAGAAAAATGCCAGTATCTAAATAAAATACTAATATTAAGTCCTCTCAAGAGGGAAAATTCAGAGCTCCCTTAGGTGTCCCACTCACATTACATTTTTGAGAAGATTTTAGAACACTGTGCCATCATTCAAAATTGGAATTAAAAATTACATTATAAAAAGAGGAGCAGAGACACCTTTCTGCTTAAATAAAGGTGTTGTTGTATACACTGGATTATTTTTTAATCCCACAACAAACCCATCATTAACATCATCATAATTTTCATTGTCTCCAGGGAAAGAAAATGCAGAGTTTGGAGAAGAGGGGGAGAAAAAAAAAAAATCAATAGAGACTTCTAAATGACTCCTTCCAGATACCACTTTTCAATTTAACAGGACAGATTTATTTGTATGTGGCTCAAATGTTCACAATTGCTCTCTGCACCTTCATACATAGGAATGAATGTCACAGTGGCAAACAGCAGTAATGAACAATCTTACCTGAGGATATGGAAACCTCCCAAGAGCAAGCTGGGAAAGGAAATAATATTTGTCTAGTTATAGAGATTTGCATGGAGGGCACATTTCCTTAAAGAGAGAAAAAAAAAAGTGCTCAACTCTTCCCATTGTACAAAGTGGGAGATGGCAGCAGGAGGGATTGTGTGAGCACACAAAGAGCTGTATTTAGAGTGGATTGTTCACCACAGTGAACCCAGGGTTCACCCCTCACTCCACCCAGGGTTTCTGTGCTTCCCCAGCCCTTTTGTCACCACTTGGTGACTCTGTTTGATGCCCAAGTTCCCCAGGACTGGAAATGGAACCAGTCCAGCCTCGCCAGCGAGGTCGACGCCGCCGACCTTTGCTGCTGCTGATCTGCAGGGAGCAGGGATTGTGGAGCAGCACTAACTCCAGAGGCCTCCCTTAACTGGCTCAGGGTAAAATCTGGGTTACAGAGCTCAGCTTTGTGTCCCTACTGTTGTCAAACCCAGGGTGGGATCTGCAGAGAGACCACGGTACCCCCAAGGAGACACCTGGTCTTTCCTTCACGTCTCCTTCTCATCGCCCAGGGTATCCACTGCTCTTCTTGCCCCTGCTGTTGTGTAAGTCAATCAGTGCCTTACAGAGAAGTCCCAAACCCAACATTCTTGCTTATACTGTGCAAAGAACATTCTACTGGCCACAGCTCATAAATATTCCAAGATAAATTCTTTGTGCTAGACAGGTTCTCCCATTTGAGAATGGTCTCCCATATCTGCAACTTGGACACAATCTCAGAAAAATGTAAGTCGTTGAAGTTATTTTGGCTACTCTTCAGGGAAGGACAAGGCTTTCCAGGGTTAGAATCATAGAATTATTTAGGGTGGAAAAGCCTTCTAAGCCTTCAAGTCCAACCATTCCCCCAGCACTGCCAAGGCCACCACTAATCCATGTCCCCAAGTGCCACATCCACACGGCTTTTAAATCCCCCCAGGGATGGGGACTCCACCACTGCCCTGGGCAGCTGTGCCAGGGCTGGACAACCCTTTCCAGGAAGAAATTTCTTCCAATATCCAACCTCAACCTCCCCTGGCACAGCCTGAGGTGACACAGGGCACTCAGAGCAGCTCTGTTCTGACCCTCTGGATGCCCCCACCTCTCTCGACAGTCTCCAGAGGAGCCATGAGCTTCTCCACACCCACTTGACCTTCATGATTCCTCCCCCTCACCAGCCTTCAGAGGGAGGTCTCCCACAAAGGTTATGGCAGCACTGCCATCACTGATCTCCCTGTGGGACAAACAAGTTTTACTCCCATCAGACCCAGCGACACCGAAGGTCTGAGCCATCAGTCCAAAGGTCACACCACGGGTCAGTGCTGGGCAAAAGCTGCTCCCCAGCCCCTGCAGTGCCAGTGATCCCTGAGCCCCTCAGTGCCAGGGTGACCTGGCCCCAGCTGTGTCCAGCCCTGATGAGATAATTTATTTGGGAACTACTCTTAAACAAAGCTTTTGCAATATTCAATTCACT